AATTCCAATTTGAGATTCATTGTTTTAGGCCTATGATATGGACCCTCTAAGCTGCTTTGGAAAACATATAAATGCCACTTAGCATTTATCAGCATTTAATACCTTGGTATCTATAGATTATCTTATCGGATTGATGACAACAAGGAAGGAAACAGTGAGGAGTCCCTTAGGGGAAAGATTCTAAGCGGGTTAAAATGTCACAAAGGGCAGACTAGGAACCTGTGTGGTCAGGGCGATAGGAAAAAGTGAGAAGGATGGCAGTTGATAGGACACTTGAGATACAACCTATGCGATTCACAATTCCTCTTGGTAACAGCAGTACACACAACACCACTTAATTACATCTTAGAATGGGCATCCTGTGAGAGGATGTAAGAGAATCTAATCCCTTCCCCTAACAAGACAAGTTTCATTTTGGAAGCACGGCTGTAGAACAGCATTTGTCCTGGGGTTTGCAGGGAGAAGGAAGATTGTTTAAATAGAAGGTAGTCACCTGGAAGAACCTGTGACTCTAAGAACTCGCTTGAAATACTTCCAGCTTCTAATCATCTAATAGTTAAAGAAGAATATCCCTAAGACCTTTGTCAACCTTTTTTAATGACATGAAAGTGCATGTCATTAGCTTTTTTTCAGCTAATGCAAAACAGAGATAGAGCTATACCCCAAACTAGTTTCCCATATGTCCTTCTTCATAGTGTCCCAATTTTGTACTCTTTTTACGTTTCCTATCTCACCAGGCCTCATCTTCCTAAAATTAATTATAGCAGTACGTAACAAGAAAATCTTTCAAACCCTTTAGTAAGTAGATAGAGAGAGAGAGAAGAAGGAAGGAAGGAAGGAAGGAAGGAAGGAAGGAAGGAAGGAAGGAAGGCAGGAAGGAAGGGAGGGAGGGAAGGAGGGAAGAGAGGAGGGAGGAAAGGAGTGGTGAGGGGAGCAGAGGAAGGAAGGGAGAAAGAAACTCATTAAACTATTAGCAGTGGTTATCTATGGGAAGGAGAAGGGGATGAAGATGAAGGTAGTAAAAAAGAAAAAAAATTCTATGTATTTTATCGTTGCTTGATTTTATTTACAGTGTTCATAGAATTTAGAATTTAGTAAAATTTTGTACTTGATTGATTCTACAACTAAAATGACATTTGTTCTCACATTTGCGATTAAAGTTGAGGGAGACTGTGGCCTAGATAAATGCTGACTACATGGATTTAAAGTGTATTCTACAAATGTTGCTGCTGACTGAATTAAGCTTAAAAATAATGTTCAAATGATATAAGGCCAAGGTGGATACAAAATGCAAAATACCCCAATTCTTCTTACATCTACTTTTTTCCTTTTTCAAAAGGAATGAACTGCTGTTCTTGCGAGTGTCATAAAGATACAGGTCGGTTATGCTGCTCCCCTGCATGAGTTTCCGTTGGTAATAAATGGTTTTCTGAGAGGTTGAGTTAAAGCTCTTATGTAAATAGAGAGAGGCTTACATAATGCTCTTTAAACCAGAACTTTGAAGACAATCTGCAGTAGGCATGTGAAATCTGTCGGTGCTGCAAATGACATCTGAAAACTAACAGAAAACCCTCCAAGATGTGATTTAAGAAAACAGGAAGAATAAATACCCACGGTGCAAGCTTTTGATCATTTAACCAAACCCCAACCATGTCCAAACAGCCAGTACATAAGAGGTGTGTCTTGGGCTTACAGTAATGCTACTAACCAACGCAGCCCTGAGTACCGTTCACTGCACATTTCTATGTAAAATTCTCCAGGGGCTGGAGCCAGGCCTTCGGCCGGTTCCCTCCCCGTAGGGTTAGTGCATCATCTCATGGAAGAAGCTAAACTAGTATTGATTTTCCAATTTCTAAAAGGAGTAACCATTTCGAGCAAAGGCACGCTGGGGGCGTGGGGGTGGGGTGTCCTTGTAAACACCGTCTCACCCACAGCGCGGCGGACGAGCGAGCTGGGGGGAGCCCGCGCGGCTTTTTCTGACCAAGTCGTGGGGCTGCGCAGCAGGTCCTGCCACCGCGGCCAGGGCGGTGCAGCTCTGCGGAGCCGCTAGAAGAGACCTTTCTCCGCCCGGAGAGCGGCTTCTGTCTCCTCCCGGAAGGCGGGACGGACCGGCTACCCATTTGCCCTTCAGCGCGCCTCCTCCCCGCAGAACTGCCCTCCCTCGCCCACCCACCCGCTGGGGCCGAGTGGGGAAGGGCGGGAGCCAGGGCGGGGTTTCCAAAGTCGCCAAACTTTCCAGAAGCCCCGGCCTCCAGCTGACTCCGCGCAGGCGCCCCTCCTGGCCCCAGAGTCCAGCCCCGCTCCCCGCCCCGCGGTCCACCCGCCAGCGAAACGGAGCGGAAACTTGCCAGCCCCCGCGGAGGGGTGGGCCAACTTTCCCAACGGCCCTGAGATGCGATTTCACTGGGGATCGCAGTTCTCTCCGCACCTGCGTCTGAGCGCACGGTGGGCAGCGCGCTGGAGGCCCGCGGCTGGAGGGACCTGCCAGGCTCCGGGATTTGGGGAACCTCTCCGCGCCCTGCCCGCGGGCGCCCCCGCCCCCGCCCCCACCCTTTTCCGCCGCCACTCCCCCTCCTCGCCCCCTCCCCCCTGTTCTTGACCGCACAGGGGAAGGGGAACCCGCTGAAAGAGCCCCTCCTCTGCTCGCAGCTGCTACTTCTCTAACACCCCCTTTCCCCGCCACTTACACACGATTTACGACCGCGTGGACTTCGCGCTCACGCCTGTCTGCCCTTTCCCCAGAAGTCTGCAAGTGGCTGAATGGAAACACTGACACGTAAAAACTCTATTCTGAGTGATTTAGCATCTGCCGCCTGGAGGTTTTAATCTCGCCAGGCTCATCCCGCCGGTGCCCGGGGCAGCTGTCCGCCAGGTCCCCCGCGCTCTTTGCTGTCCCTCGGGAAGGTGGGGCCGGGAGGGGAACGTGAGAGGTCTGGGGCCACCCGGAGTATCCCCGAGGAAACTCCGAATCCTAATCCCAGGAACTGAAGTCCTCGTGCATTCATTGTTTCCAAAGCCAATGCACAGGGCAGCTTTCTTTGGAGTTCTGGGACCCCCAAGTCGTGTCTTAGGAACAGAGAGAACGGACGCGCCACTACCGACCATCTGTCCAGGGAGTTGGGGCTGAGGCCGGAGGGGGGTACTGTTCGACCTAATCCTGCCCCTTTCCTGCCCCCTTTCATCAGCAACAAGTTTTCAAATGTGAGAGACCCCCCCCCGCCCCCGCCCCCGCCCCCCTCTCCCACACACACACACACTCCTCGCCCTGTGGCCACCAAGTGTTCACCCCAGACAGGGTCAGACAGAGGCTACATCGGCCTCGCCGGGCAGCGTGGGCGCCTGGTGTGAGAGGACAGACAAACCTCTTACAACCTCTTCACGAAGGAAATGAGGGCTCTTGTCTTTGGTTGTTCCTTCCCTAAGAAAACTTTTTTTTCTTTTCCAAACACAACATGGAGAATCACTTGCACCCTTGCTCTTCTAGCTTAGACATTTCTACTCCCAAAGGGTCCATCGTGCGTTTGGACTGGACTTTCCTCCCTCCCGTCCCCGCTCGGGTCTTCCTGCCTTGTTTTCATGGCCTGAGACACTGACTGGTGGCCCTACCTTCTTGGGGCAGCTGCAACAGGTCCCTCTAATGCTTCAGGTCTACTTGGACCGCCCACCATGCTCTCTGCTCTCCAGCTACCAGTCAGTAGGAAGTAGAGAATGAGCTTAATTCTCTATAATAAAACCTCCAACCTGAGGGCTCTTCACGCTGAAGAGCCAATGGAAGAAGAAAAGGAAAGCAGTGGACATGGTGGCTAGACACCCCCAAACTCTGACCTCAGACAAGAAAAACCCTCAACAACTGCCCCTCCCCATCTTGCATTGTATTCCTGAAACCTGGAAATGAAAATGGAAATGATTTGATGTATGAGGAGAAGTTATCTAATTAGGGCGTAAGAAATTTAATCTTTCCAGCATGCAGGTCATATAATTAATGTTAATTTAACGCTCAAATTCTCAGTCATTAATTTTTATTCTCTTAAATGCAGTTTGGCAGGGGCCCCTGATCCATGGCAATGGATTTTACTGGATGTGAGAGCACACTTGGTCTTAGGAGTGACTCACCGCAGACTTCCCATCCCAATAACAAGATCACATCATGTATGCATTATTAAGCCTTGTAATTGAACGGTCCATAGTTTGCATATCAGACTATTAAAATAATATGTTTTGCTTTTCTCCGAACACGTATTGTTCAAGCCTCTGCGAATATGTGGCAATTCAGGTAATTATCACCAAATTACTGCAAATGTTCTCTTCATTAACATGATTTCTTTCAAGCATTTTTTAAAAATGTGAATATTATTACGTTAAGGAAATTCTTACAAAGTTATGTGAACTTTTTTTAAGGGACTTGTCATTGGGAAGGAAAGGAAATATTTGAATGGAGGAAGAGAAATGCTTTTCAATATGAATTTCAAATGGCTTTCTCTAGTCAAATAAGCTTTCTCTAGTTTTTTCAGGCAGCTTCTAGGCAAGAAAGAGAGAAAGACAGAGAAGAAGAGAGGATGGGGGAGGGGGAGAAAAAATTTAAAAGTCGCAGGAGAGTAAGAAAGAATTAATTTTTTAAATTCCCTACTATCCGGTCCTTTTTTGGTATAGATAAGTTGTCCCCACAAATAAAATTCTAACTTTTTACCTGACCTAGAGTAAACTAATATTCCCCTTTATAAAAGTACCAACTCAAAATTTTCTAAAGCTAACAGCTCTCAATTGACCAAATATTGCTGTTTCCTTCCAGTTATTCTGAGCCATACAGTTGGAGAAATTATAAGCTGTAAAGAGCCTTTATTGTAAGCTTCCCTTCACACACTGTTTTCAAAGTTGAATAGCAAGACTTAAAAAAAAAACACTACTGCAAAATAAGAGTCTCTTTTAAATGTGAGAAATTTGCATCTGCACTTCTTTCTAGCAAAAGTTCCTTTGAGTGATATTTAAACTCTAACAAACAGGTCATTCTGCCGCTGGTATTCTCCCTCCTCCCGGGTCCAGAGTGGGCGGCGCTCGCAGGTCGCCGTCCTCGACGGCGCTTCCTACGCCCAAATCCTGCCACCAGCCCCACCGAGAGGGGCTTTCACCCACGGGGCAAGTGTCAGGCGTTTGAGAAGGTTGTGAGATTTTTCCCTAAATAAAAGATAAAATACGCTAGGAAAAGTGAAGTGTGGGCCCGGAAGCGAATGGGCGAATGTGGGGAGGGAGGGAGAGAGAGAGAGAGAGAGAGAGAGAGAGAGAGAGAGAGAGAGTTGTGGCTGGTGCATTCGGCCCACTCCAGCAGTAACCGGCTTGGCCTTTCTCTGCGTGGCTGGACCCCTTCCCCTTGCTCGGTGCCGGGACCCTCTGGGCCCCTTCCTACAGCCCGCAGTCAGCTGTCCGGGGAAGAGGTGCCAGGCCCCGGCAGGCACTTTTATTTTGGCTGAGAGGAGGGAACACTGCTCCCAGGCCCGAGGGAGGCGAACTGAGCCCTTCTGTTTGGATTTCCCTCCTTGCTATAGCAACCAGCAGCGTCGGGACAAAAATGCGCCCTTCCTGGACAATGGCCCGGCCTCCCGCTTCTCGCCCTCCGTCTTCCTCCCCCGGAACGCAGCCAGGACCTGCCTAGAAGCTGAGTGGCTCAGTGGCCGGGAACGGCTCCACCCCCACCCCGCTGCGTTCCCTGGCTGTCCCCCGGGAGGTCAGGCCGGGGCGCGGGACGCGGCCGCCGCTTCTCCTACCCGGCTGATCCCCCACGTAGGCCGAGGCCGGGACACAGAACCTCCTGACGGAGCTCAGGGGCTCCCACCGAGGAGTTCTCCGCGGGATTGTGTGAGTGGTTGCGTGGCCCTGAGTGTCACAAATCCCAGCTTTTTTCAGGGTTGAAAAATTATTAGTATAATGCACAAAGCAAACTACCCCCCCCCCCCAGACACAAACACCTTCATGTAAATATAAGCATCCTAAACCAAGGTCCTAGGCATGATCTCTGACTTTCTTTCACTCTCCCAAGGTTAATTAAGTTCCCTTCCAGGAACTGAGCTCCGAGCCTATTCATTATTCTCTCCCTCTGACCTAGGGCATTAATGTGATCAGGCCTGTGACTGGGCCGAGTCCTCTTTTCCTGCTTTGCATTTAATGCTGGGACCCAGCTGCCCTAGATTACCCTCGAAAAATCGCAGGAAAGACAAGAGGAGTGAGGTGTTCTCTTTGCTTCATCCTGCCTAAGGCTTCCTCTTTCTGCATCTTCTTTCGGACAATGTCAGCCTCTGCATTCTCAGGATCCATATTCTGGAAATCTGTCTTTAAAAAATAATCATCTCTAATTTCATTCAGTCCAAAGGTGCCTACAATGACAGTTCCAACACTCAGAGACCTTAGCAGACGTCCTGGCCCACAGCTATTACCTCTGTGGTTAACTGCTCTCAAGAAAAATTTTGCCCGGTGCATCACCCTCCCCGCCCCCCTCCCCCCTCCCCCCGCCCCCCCCCCGTTGCTGTCCCCAAGACCCCCTTAACAACGCAACTGTTAAGTGCACTCCTACACTTTAGAAGAGATTTACATTCGCGTGCTCTGTGCAGCCATAATAAGAAATCCGAAGTTCAACCTCCACCAAATGCAACCTGAGTCCCCAGCGATGGAAACCCAGTCCTAGCTCTTAGACCCCGGACCAAAGAAATAGCTGAGGCCGTCCTTCCCCAGCGCGTCTGTGAGCTGATATTTGCTGCCGCTCTGGCCCCTGGCCTTCGACTTCTTAGATTGCTCCCGAAGATAAGAGAGGGAAAGGACCGCGGCAGAAGCTTCCTCTTAGTGCATCTCCCAAAGCTTTAGAGCTAAGGTGGTTTCGTTGAAATCACTTTAATTTATAAGAGTTGTCCTTTCCTCCTGGTGGCCACCCACCCACCTGCTTTAGGAGGGGATAGGGAAATTGGGGTGGGGAGGGACACCTTCATTGTTAGGAAGTCACTTAACTGTTACTACTTTGAAAACGAATTTTCAGGAAGGGAACTAGGACCCACCAATCGCTGTGAGTTCTTTTCCTGATATTTCAGTATAAACAACTATATTAACTCCAAATAGAATTTATCTTGCACATTGATGAATTATGTCCTTTATGCTTTCTTCCCTGGAAGGCCTCACTACTCAAAATTTACCAGGTTTCCTTTCATAAATTTCTCAAAAGAATCCCTGAAACAGCTAGACTGTCTGGGTGATATGGTTTTAGAAATCTTCTTGCCTTGCCTGCCTATAAAATATTCACCTTTGGACTACAAATGGGGGTCATTTTTAATAATGAGATTCAGAACTGGAATAAAAACAGAAAGAAATTACTATCCACGAATTCAAGTAATTTTATTTTAAATAGTCAACTTACAACATTACATCTCACTGGTTGACACAGTAGTCAAGATAAAATATAATCATTTGTATGTGATGCATGGACAAACAGAAGTGCCAAGCATATGAAGAATGAGAGTTTCAACTTCCAGAAAACTTTTCCTTCTTCAAGACCACTTATAACATGGAGACAGATGCACATTTGGAAACTTGTAAAATGTATGAATAGATAGTAACATATAAACCTATATGGGATATTTTTTAAATTTAGGATACACTGTGCTGTTACATAGTTAAAGATGTTAATTTCTGTCCTTTTTAACAGTAAATGTTGATTGTGTTTCTCAAAAGAACTGGCAACTTGGAAAAGCATTTTTCATGCTTATAAATGCATCCCAAGCCTGCAGTTCTTGAAGCTTTAAGGAGGTTTCTATTAAAGCAGCCAGCTGCCTCTTTGTGTGCCCTGGCTGTTTAAAGCTGCAGCTCTGAAGTGGGAGCCTCAGTTTGACGTTCTGTAGGCCCTTAGCAAAGACGTTCCATTCAAATATGGGGGAGCTCTCCACAAAATCAGACAGCTTCTGGAGCCAGCAGGGGAGAAGAAAGATGGAAATGGATGACTGGGACAAGGCAGAAGATGGAGGAGAATGAGAGGGAGGAGAAGGGATTCAAACAGGGTGGATACATTTAAAAGAAAGCACCAGAAGGCAGTTTTACCTGTGTATACCAGTAGTCACCTCCTAAGAAAATTTCCTTTGTTTCTCTATTTCTATTATCGCAGGAATACATAAATAATAAATAAAGATCTATCAAGTGAATATCATCTCACCTCTATTTTAATAACTGTTCTGTCAGCTCAATGTGTGGTGGTTTTTCTGTCAAATCCTAGGATATAGGAATAAATAAATGACATTTTACATATGGTGTGAGTGTGTTTGCTAGATGAACGAGTTAATAAATTAGAGTTCAAGTTGGAGTGTGCAAATGGGTCCCATTACGGCTACTCAGGTGAGGTAACGTTAGGGGCCTTGGGTGAGGATGCTGGGGGTTACTGATACAGGCCCGCCTCATTCTGAGGTGTGACAATGTGGGATAAATACGGGTCTTTTGGGTTAAACTCGGATTAGCTGAGTTCTTTCCTCTCCAAGCGAGCAGGAGGGAGTTCTCACCATTTCCTCAGGCGAGTCCAAGTCAGGATACGGACTGAGTAGAGAAAGTCCACTCCCAGGGAAAGGGAAGGGACTGGCACTCTTGCCAAGATCTCCTCTCAGGTGCCCCGAGCCAGTACTTGAGGAAGGGGCCCAGGGGACCCCGCAGTCTGCTCCCGAGGCAGCGAGGCCCGCAGGAACCGCCTGCTCATCCATTGTCCTAGAGAGAGTGGCCTCGGGGAGCTGTGCTGGATTGAGGGAGACATGGAGACACCTTGTCAGTTCAAAGCGTTTTAGGGTTGTTTGAAATCCTCTCCACGTCAGCGTAAGCGGCCTCTGTATTTGTACAGCTGCTTTGAACGGTGAAAGGGAATGAGCTAAATCAAAACCTGGAGGTGTCTCTCTGAGACACCTTCAACGTTCTTTATGCGTTTGGGAAAAAAGCAGGCGGACCAGCGGATTCTGCCCTGGCTGGGTCAGACGCAAAGAAAGGCGCCGGCGCTGGAGCTGGGGGCGGAGGGAGGGCCACGGACGGAGAGCCCCCTCTGGAGGTAAACCTCGATTGCCAGGTTTCGAGCCCAGGAGACAGCGAGCGAGCAGACTGAGCGAGCTACTCAGTACCGCGT